GGGATAATGAGGCCCAAACACACATCAAAGCCTTGAAGAACTACTTAAAAACCAAAGTAGGCGTCCCAGCAAACATGAATTTCCCTGCAATCACATGATCTCAACCTCACTGAACATTTATGAAGACTGAGGAAGTTCTTTATGAGATCATCCTGGAGCAGCGTGGGTAAACACCAGCTTCAACAAATGCTATTTTGCATTTAAGTAACCAAAACTAACACGAACTAGCATAACATCACATCACTCCAGAGCTTCAGCTGCTAATTCAACAGTATCAGAAAACTGTGACTTAAACAGCAAACAAACATCAGCTCACACCAAACTGTCAGAGAGTCAAACTGTCTGCAGAAGGCTGTTTATCTGAAATGTACTGTGTGGTACAGGTTAAAATCATAGCAAGGGCCTCACAAGGACAGAAGCCAGTGTGTGTGTGTGTGTGTGTGTGTATTCCTTTTTGCTAGCACTAGCTTGAGTTTTACAGCTTGGGAAAAGAGAGATCCTGTCTTTTGGTGCTTGAAAGCTTTCTTTTATGGCTCAGAATTGAATGAGGTGAATGAGGTCCAGGTTAAGTTCAGGGGTAAAGCTCGGGGTCCTCACAGAGATAGACTTGGAGCCTTGTGTGTGTTGTGTGTGTGTTTGCACAAGCTATAAGTCACCCTCTCATGCAAACTTGTGACTCATGAAGCAGCAATAAAAACCTCTTTCTTTCAGTTTTTTCTCTCTTTGGTAGACTGACTTCCTCTTCAGAGTCTCTTGACTTTAAATCTTCCACATGTATAATAACACCTTATAATTAAACATGATAGGGTTAATCATAGAATTGCATGTCTTTCCCCGAAACTTTTAATACATTTTCTTTACCAAAAAAACTTCAGAAAAAATGTTTCAAGCTTCACAGAGGAGCTTCCCCTCACCTCGAACCCCGCTGACATCCATCACCTGCCTGCATCGGACTGCAGCTCCTCCCAACGAGCCGAAAACAAACCCTCTTTTTAAAAAAAAAAACCAACAAAAAAAAAAACCCTGATTAAACAAAAACAGCAGTCGGATCAGCTGCTTCAGTGAGTTTAGTTCTTCCAGTGAGTGAAAACAAAAGTTTCTTCTTAAAATAAATGAAAGTCCAGCTTCAGTGCGAAGATTTGTGCCGGATAACAACCTGAGAGCGATAAATCCTTCCTTTTTCTGTACAGCCGAGTCTGAGCAGCGCCTTCCTTCGAACCTCGCCTTCAGAATAAAAGCATGGGTTGACTTTGAAGATAAAATGAGATATTACTCAAGATCTTACTCACATTTAACATTAACATATTAAATGTGTTTTAGAATGCATTGAGGAAAAATTGAAAAACAGAGACTGTCAAGAACAAATAGTTTAACATTTGTTGTAATGCAAAGTAGTATTATGCATTTCCAGATCAGGCTTATTTTTATTCTACAGTAGCTTTGCATGATTCAGTCAAAAAAAAAAAAAAAGACTCTGCTCCTTGGTTGCAGCACCACAAATCCTCTCAAACAAGCTGTATTAGTTCTTCCACCTTTACACCAATTTTCTCCTGACTGGATGATACTCACTCATAAAAACAGAGGTTTGAGCAGCAGGTGGGTGGAGCTTCTATGCCAAAGATGACCATATTATATCTGCTCTCTATGACCTCATACATATCCAAAAGTTCAAACTAGAGGTGGGCAGAATAATCCAAATGTTTATATTATCAATAGCAAAGTTGGTATTGTTATCGGACTGATATTAGTGCAATAGAATTGATACTTTTGTTTCCTCCAAGCTTTCAGTATGTAGCCTACTGAATTCTCAAATCTTTTTTAAATTAATTGTTAATCATCTCTAAACCATGCCAGGGTTTAAGCTTTTATTCTGAAAATAAAAGCAGGCTGTTTGTAGAACATCTGAGTTTTAGTAGCTTCTGTTTATTTAAGCCTTGATGCCTCACAGCTCACAAACTATAGAGCTGTCCAGTGGCCTTTATATCAGGGAAGAGTGTTTGTTTCACCACAAGAAACTAAAACCTGTTAGTCAGCTTGAAGCATGTCAGAGTACGATCAGCCATAAAGGATATTTTGATCCAAATTATATTTTGCTACAATAAAAGCTTGCTCATATCCAAATCATCCCCAGCAGAAAGTCATGAAAAGAAAGGAAATAGAAATAACTTTTTTTAATAAGGATTTTTTATTTTCTATATAAAAGGTACTATAAAACAGTACAATTTCTAAAAACAAGTAGCTTACTAAAATAAAAGTCTAACTATACAAAATCATATCAGACATTTCCAGAGAAAAATAAAAGTTATATTTACAAGTAGGAAATGTTACATCGTCCCTTCCAGCCAACTCAAACCTGCAGATGAACCAGAAATCCTCACTCACGCATTCAGCAGCAACTCACTCTCTTGAGCTAGAAAACAATTTTTAAAAAGAAAAACTCAAAAAGCAAAATACTTTGTTCACGTAAATGATAGTCTTCCATCATTGTACATAACGTTAGCCAGGTGTACTAACATTTATGTCACTTCTTTAAACAAAATATTCGATTTTATGATCCGATAATAGTGGTCATGTTACTTTGTTACACCAACAATAAATCTTTGTCAACAAATATAAGGCATGAGTATGTTGGAAGTATTTCAAAACAAGATGTGCTTTTGAAGAAGGTTTCTCTTTATGATGCAAATGTCTTTCAAGAAACAAGTGGGCACATTTAAATAAAAAAGGCACCTCTTAAACAAGCTTCATCTGATTCTTTATCTTATAGTATAAGTTTTTTCAGTATTTGGTCTTAAATCATGATAATACAAAATAATATTACATCAAAGCAGTCCCCCTTTTTTTGTATTTTTGCATAATGCATGAACTAAAAGGGCAAAGGACCTTTTTTCACTCTTAAGTAAAGCACAAGAGGAACCTTTTGAGTAATGCAATCGCCATGATAAAATAGGAATAGTAAACATTACCTATGTAAGCCAGAGATTACTAAAAATGAAAGACAGTAGACAAATAAAGCATCTGTTAAGTTCAGCCTGTATGTGGCTGAAGAAATGTGAAATCTTTACTAGATTTTCCTCTCGACTTGATACACCGATAAGCAAAACAGAGAGAAAACAAAGAGACTGAAACTGAGTTACAAGAATCACCACAACCAAAGCAGATCTGAACTGTTTTGGTTTACTTGATAACATGTTTGGTCAGAGAATAGGGAAGATTTGTTTGGTTATCTGCAGCAATAACAGCTGTGGTCACTGGAAAAGCCCAGAATTGGTGCTTCCCTCTAGAAAGTCTATATCTGTCCCCTTTCTAATGCCATCGCTGTTATGAAAAAAGTCACACAACAAACATACGGCTCCAACCACCGTGTTCTCCATTATGTAATTGTGATAGCTGTTGCTATGACAGCAGCCAGGTGGGTCAAACTTCATGCTAGCATTTTTACCGAAGGTGTGAATGCAAACAGAAAAAGGAAAAAAAAGTGTCCTTGATGGTATACACTTCTGTGGAGCAGTTACTCTGAGGGAGTTTCCCAGAAGTGTTTGGTCCAAAAGTGCTGACTGATGTCTTTAAGGTGTTTATACATTCAGCAGCTTTAAGTAAGAACTGCTTTGACAGTCCTGGGCAGCAAGTAAACCCTTTGATCAGGTTCTGCTTTATCTTGCATTTTCACATCAAAACAGTACTGGAACAGCTGGTTTGTTACAGCATCACGTTTTGGTACCTGACATCAAGTCATACATTTCTGTCTGCCAATCAGGACACTGTGGCCTGAGGCCATCTTTGGTTTGAAACGGTCACCTCTGCCAACATCTGGAGTTCCAGTCCTTCAAAAATCCTCCAGTGGACAAAAAAAAAAGAAAAAAGAACTGCAATTACCAAAGTTTTCTCGTAATCAGTGATTAGCACAATTACCAGGAAATACTGCTCTAGAACACAGTGGCTACTATAGCAATCACAGTCATTACTGTTCTAGAACACAGTGGTACCACAGTTACAAAAGAATACTGTTATAGAATTCAGTGGTTCCATAGTTTTCATAGCTATTTATCAACATTCTAGAATTCAAAGGTTACCATGGTCACTATGGTCAAGTGTTTTACAACATAGTGGCTACCATAGTTACCATGGAATAGTGTTCTAGAACTCAGTGATTAACATAGTTATGACAGATCAGCATTCCAGAACTCAGTTTCTGCTTCCCACTCCGGTTCTTCCAGCTTCACCTTCTTCACAAAGGCAACTTTTTGGTCCAAGTTGCCACATTGATTTACAAGATGACATCACCAGGCTAGCCTTCTTTTGATTGGCTGAAGGCATACCCCTACAACGATGCCACAGGTGTGAGAACAGCGTCATTTTGCTCGAGGTGATGATGGTGGTGCAGCTCAGCTTTGCACACCGTGGCAGCGCTGCAGCTGAGCGATGTGGCAGCGGGTGCCTCTTCATCACCTGAAAGACACATAGCCAAGTGTGAGCACCATGATCACCTTCAGTCTTTAAAAATCATTTACCTTTGTGCAAAAGTCACATGAGGACATAAGTCAAGGGAAATTTGGCACATGCATGTTATTGAAAATGTTGCTTTTTCTACAGAACAAACAGCAAAGTTCGATTTTATAAAACATCTGTTGAGGTTGAGGCCTTACTCAAACCATAGAAAGATGATTCACTCTCAGCCAGGGAGGAGGAGTCTGCCTGGTCATGTGACAGTCCGTCCATTAAGGGAATAGAAAGCTCTGATGAAGGAACAGATGAATCATAGATGCCTGAATCACGAGGTGGGGGGATCTCTGGAACAGTGGGGCGGCCTTCATCAGCCTGTCCCTGACCAGGGGAAATGCCATCCTGGAGGATGGAAGGACCAGAGGAGGACAAGGAGGAGGAAGAGTCTTCGGATAACAGTCCAGATATTCCAGAAGCAGACCTGTAACAGAAAAAGTATCTGCAGTCAGAATAATAATAATAATAGTTATATGTTACCTGCTGTTATATCAGTGAAATTAAAAGAAAACAAAAATGAGGTGTAACACACTTTCCTTTACCTTGAATTGGGATCTAGCATGAACAGAGAAGAGTGTGGTAGGTCTGGACTGGGACAGACACCAGGACTGGGACAGGGGTCAGGGGTGGAACTGGGACTCGGGCAAAGGTTGGGATCAGGGCTGGAACCATGGGCCAGCTGGAGTACGTTCCTCCCCATCACGCCCTCCCCACTCTCCAGCGATGGCATTCGCACCACCACCTCATTCAGCACCAAGCCAGAGTCAAACCTCTGCTCAGCCTGAGATGACAAGGAGCAGGAAGGTTTGGGCGGAAGGCTCGGAGCCTGGACAGCAGCGAGAGACGGATGTTTGGAGGAAGAGTCAGGAGAGGTAGAGGATGCTCCAGCAGGAGCAAGCTGCTTTTCGAACCAGTCGGGGTTCTGGCTGATGTGCTGGTGCATGTTGCAGATGGAAACGTAGAGCGAGCGCCCGGACTTGCTTCTGAAATAGTTCCTGCGGGAAATGTTAAGAGGCTGCTGCTCACGATCAGTCAGACTGGAATGACTCGAATGGAACCGACTGAAGAGCTGAGGCAGCTGGTCCATCAGCTTGAACCTAAACAGGAAATGAAATTATTTATCAGGCTGCAAGTATTTATCATTTTCATTAAAGTTTGTATTCATTGTTCCCGTCTTTACCTGGTAGCCAGACTCAGCATGGTGGGGATGTCGCTTTCTGTAGAATAGTCAAAGTAAACTGCCATGTATCGGTTCATCTCCTGTGCCCCGCTGTCTTCGCTTTGCTTCGCCTGCCGCAGCTTCTCAGCAATCATGGCAACCGCCACAATGAACAGGTCCCCACCAACCGCAGTAATCGAAGAGCTGCTGCCATTACTACGGCGGCTCACTGGCGTCTTCCCTCGACGGCTTTTCTTTTCCACATAATAGCTGCAAAAAAACAACAGTTATGACAAAAGGGGTTATAAAAAATATGGTAAGGAAAAGAATAAAGGTACATTTTTAGTTGACTCCTTACTTAACATTTTTTGTATTTTAGAAACCTGAAATGTTCTTGAAGAGGAAAAGGCACATGGGTATGGCAAGAAGACAAGAGAGACCAAAGGAAAGACGGAAACAAGTGAACACACAATGAAGAAAACATGACACCTGTAAAAAGAGGTGGGACAGAGGGGTGACACACTCGTCAATTAGGTTTAGAAACCTGTGAGCCTACCATAAATTAAATCATATACGCATCAGCATCTTCAACACATTTTGTGTTTTAATTCAACAATTTTAAAAGATTTTACTATAAAGTAACTACTGAACCCCTGACTTATTTGTTAGTTCAAATTCTGATGTTCACTTTTGATAAGTGTTAGAGGCATCTAGTGGCCATTTGAGGAACTGCAGCTGAAGGCACTTTCAGCGCCTCAACTGTAATATTCACAAAAAAATACAATTAAATATGAAGAAAACATTCACTCTGAGCCAGGGAGGAGAAGTCTCCCTGGCTAAATTTAAAAAAGAAGAATGAGACTTCAGAAACAAAGACTAATTAAAATTATACTGTACACTCATAAAAATTAAGCATAAAAAATAAATAAAACCAAATCAAACTAATGAAATCTAAATTCTAATAAATGTGATTGTCTGCTTATTTTTCTATAGAAACAGGAGGGTAAGGTGAGTACCGCAGGCCTTTGGAACAGACGGTGATGATGAAGTTTGCTTCATCCAGCTGTCTGCTGAGCCATGACATCTGACCCTCTTTGCACATCTCCAGGTGTTCCCACAGGTCCAACACAACCTGAACATGAGTGAAAATAATCAGTTTGATTTTTTTCATGTTTTCTATATTTTTTTCCTCCAAGTCTTTTAGTGGTCCTCAGTTTCGTCTTCATGATCGTCTCACCTCACAGCAGCAGAAGTCCTGCAGGAAGAAGGCGAAGCTCTGGATGACACTGGTGTGTTTGGGACAGTCTCTGTTCGAGTAGCAGATGAAGACTTTGGGGCGGGGCCACGGCCGCTCAGTGGTCAGTGCTGCGCTGTGATTGGACGACTCGCTGCTCTCCTCATCCAGCTGACTGTAGATGTTTTCTAAAGGAGGGAAGAGAGGATTGTTTTAAAATGCAGCCATAAATTTAAAGTATGGTGACCGAAATTTGGCAACTGCATTTGAATGACAAATGACAAAAACATTAAGATAACGGGGATGTCGTGCAGTCACATTGATTGATTGACTGATCATTTATTCCGAGCATGAATACAGCTAATACTGTCTTCTAGTACAAGTGCTTGAAAAGGAGTGGAAAGAAGTAACACTTATATATTCTCACCCTTTTGTAATGCAAAGGTTTACAAGGGTAATTGCTTTATACTGTGTACACCTCTCAAGATAGTAAATCTGGGGCCAGTTGCTGTCTAAAGGAAAGAAAGTCATTTACACAGCAGATGATCACTATCACTAATCATTACTAGCAACATTAAAATGGGAAGAAACTGAGCCCCTTAAAATATGAATCATGGTTCCCCTCACCTTGCTGCTTCTTGCGACACATGACTGTGAAGAGGGTTGCAAATGCTGACATGACAACCAGCGGCACCGTGATGGCCATGGCACGGATAGGTCCCGCCCAGGGGGAGTGGACTGAAGGATGGAAACAAACATACCCATTTGTGAGGCAATTAGATCGGACTGTTATTTCAGTATTTCTTTGCCACAAAATAATGATAGTAGTGGGCAGGGCAGAGTCAATAGGTCTGAACTGAAGTTGATGTTTCATTGTGTGCACACAATGAGAACTGATTCCTGGAGTAATCCTGACTCGTTTCTAGATCCAGTGGATACATAATCTCTCCAGTGGGTTCTGGATCTATGTCGGGGTTTCGTCTTAGTTGAGCGTGCCAGGAAAACTTCTACAGGGAGGCTACCGGGAGGCATCCTAATGTCCAACAGACTTTTTTAAACTGGGGGAGGAAGTAGGATGCTGAACTTTATTTTCCTAAAATTCACCTTGGACCCCTTTGTTGTGTAGAATCTATTTTGGTTTGTAGTTACACCTCCAGCCACTAGGTGGTGCTAATTTTTTTATTATAAGTTAAAGAAATCAGAAAAGTCAGAGATCCTTAATGAGCTGACAAATTAGTGAAGAGGCAAACTCCTTTCTGGCTGCCAACATGTCATTGTATTTTATTGTAGTCTATTGCCTCAATGTGGACAATGCCCTGTGCTCAGCATGTGGTAAGATGATATACAGAGTCATGGACAGACCAGAGCATTCACTGAAAACATGTCATTAATGTCTGACTATGACAGCCCCTCATTGGCTTTAAAAAAATGGATTAAGACTGTCAGTAAATCATGAACAGCAGTGTTGCACAGGTGGGCTGTTCACAGTGGATTCAGCTCAATTATTTTTAGTGCAGTCATCGTAGGAATATTTACTTAATGGTGTATTTTTAAATCAAACTAAAGACCCAACAATACTAAAGATGAAATGGTGGGATGTTAAGGTGTCTGTGGCCGTCTTTTATATACAGCGTACTGTGTGGTTGTGTGCATCTCACCCTGGCTGACGTGGTGCTGAGTGTGCATCCTGGTGGTGTTGCTGTCATCTTTTAACTGAGGAAGAGAAGAGAGTACTGTTTAAAACTGATCATTTTTGGTCTATAAATCATCTTCGGTGAGGACTAGGCTCCAGCAGAAACCAGTTTAACCAGCTGTGAATGCTCTAAATGGAGCTCAGCTCTGTGCTACATTCATGTACCTCTATAGTGTAGGTCCCTGGAGTGACGTCCTGGAGGATACATGTCGTTCTGGGCTGATTCACATCCTGGAAATGGTAAAACACGACACTTTAGTTTTCAATAAAGACTAACATCTGCAATTAAATTTTAGCTTCCAGATTCAATCCCAAACTCCCTCTGACAACGCACACACTTTAACAAAAGCCTGCTCAGGAGGAGAGGAGGTACAACTGAAGGCCAAAGAAGTTTTAAAAATGTTTTCAAAGCACATGGGAACAGTATATTCATCAGTTTATTGTACAAGTATTAAACAGTGGTGTCAGTATCAGTGGGGAGTTGGTGCCGCCTTAATATCAACCCTGATATAGTGACGGGACAGGTGTGCCTTTTTTCATTCTTCACAAAATTGCTTAGGAGTTGCTG